ACTATGGGACTAACGGTAAACCGGTACTCATGTGCACACTCTGGGTGTCCCCTCCCACAGAAATCCAGGAAAGGCACTAATCACCCCATCTGGACGCTAGACTTAGGCTGGGCATCGCCCACTCAACCAAATCACAACTGACATCTGACATCTTGACCAAGACGGGATCACTCATCCGTCTCGGTCCTTCAATTTAATCACATATAGATCTCAGACATGGTAAATTATTAAAAGCGATGAAGTACACAGTACATGGTCCCCACCTGGAAACTGGCGAAAAGCGAATGCTGAATATATCTGGAATTGGTAGCTGATGGAGGCTCGACTCTCCTCAAGCTACAAAATATATTGAGCGAAATATTCTAAGTACTAAGCTCATAATAAAACTCAAATCTTTAATATCTTATATATCTAGGTTCGCTCATTCGGCTTTGAAAATCATTTAGGGATTTGCGAGCTGATTTTGAAAATATTATCGTCGTTGAGGCATTCTAGAGTTCTCTGGAATATTTCTAAGTCTGGGACTAGGTTCTGACTTAATCTAATCTGACTGAAATCTAAACTATATCTGAATCTTTAATCTATCTGAAATTCTTAACTTTATCTGGAATCTTAACCTGACAGCATCTGAAATTTATCTGACATTTTATCTGAAATATATATCGAGCATTCCGGCTGGCCAGACCAGTTCGACTGAACTGGACCGACGGCTCACTCGGAGTCGGTCGGTCATTCACTTGACTATGTGCAGCTCGGTTTGACCGTGGTCCGAGTTCGGCGTGGCGACTCGGGCCGGCACGAACTCGACTGACACGGCTTAGCCGATGCACGAGTTGATCGGTGCCACGGTCACTGATGCAGGGGCGTGCGTGGACCGCGGCTAACAGAACGACGCGTAGACGACAAGTCGGATGAACTCAGTGCACGGGCACACACTCGGGGTTTGACTCGGACTCGATGCACGGGCACGCACTCGGGGTTTGACTCGGACTCGGTGCACGAGCACGCACTCGGCGGCTCAGCTCCAACGGTCGGACAAGAGGCGATCACGGGCACGAGACGACGATATGCATTACGATACGACGGTTAATAATTATCCAGACGGTACTAGGGTTCAATCAATTATAATCGGACTCGGAAAAATACCCGGTTATCGAAACCGGATAAAACTAGGGTTTTGATTCCAGAAAATTCTAACTCAATTCAGGCCGATATTAAATAAAAATATTCTATGTGATTTATAATAAATCTATAATCCACAACCGCAGCTAAAATCTCAATCAAACTAATATTTTATTTTTTACGGCATTAATATCTAAAGTCTCGATTTTTATAACTAAGTCAAAGAACATCCAAAAATTAAGAAAATTGAAACATAACATCCTAAATATATATATAGTCTATGGTCAACATCTCAAGTCAAAAGTCAACTCCTAACTCAGTCAACTAAAGATCGCTACGACCGGTCAACGCATTTGACCGGCTCGTTTACCTACCAAACCAAGTCCGAAAATTATGAAATTTAATCCTACGCCTCAAAATGACGTAACAAATTTTATAGTATTTATTTCAACATTTTATCGCATTTATTCAAAAAGTCGAACATTTTAGCTTTAAGCCCAAAAATCCCGATTAATTCAAAATCGCTCAAATCATCCAATTTATTCTTTTATATCAATTCAAATATTATGTCTAAGCCATCAAAACCGAGATCTAGTTATTATACCTTAAAACGACTCTGATCGGGTGGACCGAAAAATAGATCGGGTAAGAAAATAAGGAGGTGGAGCAACCGGGTCGGATCTTGAGGCTTCAAGCTTGCTGAAAATGGTCCAAAACTGCTGCTGGTCGAGAGTTAGGGTTCAGCTGGAGCTCAGTCGAGCGTTGAGGAAGGGTTTTCCGGCGTGAACTCGTCGGAATCGGGCCTGGGATCGAGGAGCTGGGTTGCTGGACTCGTTGGTCGCGAGCAGGTGCTGAAATCGAGCTGGAAACGGAGCTGTGGTCGGGAGTCGCGCGAACAGAGGTGGGCTGAGGAGCTGGGGTCGTGGCGGCGCGGTTGTGACGAGAGCTCGAGCTTGGACTGAGGAGCAGCGAAAATGACAACGTGGAGGGGAGGAGCGTGGCGGAGCTGAGAAGAGAAGGACGCCGGAAAAGTGAATTTGGTGGCGGAGCTGCGGCCTGGTGCGGTGGTGGTCGCGGGTCTGAGCTTGTGGCGCGGCCTGTACGGATGGCGGAGCTTGGCTGCGGCTCGACAGGAAAACAGCTCGGGCTTCTCGGTGTTGTGCTCGTGAATGTCGGACTATGGCTGAGAAGGGGCTGTTGCAAGCTGCGGCAATGGCCTGAGCAAGAGGAGGGTGAGCTCAGGCTGAAGTTGTGCAGCTGATGGGCTCAGCGTCGACGGCGGTTTGGCTAGAAAGGAGAGAGCTCGCCGAAAGCTTCAAACCATGGTGGGAGAAGAAGAAGCTCTTTTTTTTTATGTATGTATGTAGATCTTTGGATTAAAAGGCTAGATTAGACTAAGCTAAGACATGGTGTGATTTTTAACTCAAGATCTTGTAAAATGAAGGTAAAATGTGATGATATTTACTATGGATCTTGAATTAGGGATGGTGTAGTGAGGGAGATGATGAATAGTGAAAAGTGGCTAGGGTTTTGTGTGTTGTTGGTGGTTAGGAGACAAACTATTTATAGAAGGTGTAGGAGACTTAGGGTTTTATTTTTGTTGGGCCAATAATCGGGCTAGAGAGTCGGGCCTAAAATCCTACGAGTTGGGATCGAATATAAATCGGTTATGAACTTAGGAAATTAAATGCTCGGGCTTGCTAAATATTATTAATCGAACTAAGACTAATTAAATTAGTAGGTCAAAATAATTACTAATAATGGGCCCGGAATTAAAATACTATGATGGCTCGATATTAAAATATCGTTTGGTCTTGGGAATTAATTCGACTATTCAAATTAAAATGGCCGACTGAAATTATTGGATTCGCTCAAAATTAGTTGGGCTCGAATAATCAAATTATCCGACTTTGGATCACTTAATTAAAATTCCAACTTTAATAATTAAAGTCGAAAGAATTATTCATGGCTTAGACTTTAATATTATTTATTTATTTATTTTAATGCATATAAATATATTAAATGCATCAAATTTAGAAACTTAATATTTATGGAAATATAGTCGAGCTCCATAAATAGTAATATAAAAATCTGGGCATTACAATCTATCCTCCTTAAAATATTTCCGTCCTCGAAAATTCCAAAACTAATCATAAGTCCGACTCGACTATAAACTAGGAATCGAAAATACATAATACTAATCAGAACTGGAAATTAGGATAACGAGCACGAATCTTCTCCTCTCGCTCCCACGTGGCCTCGGCCTCGCCGTGGCGAGTCCAATGGACTCGAACGAGCGCTACATCTCTGCTCCTCAGCTGCTGAACCTTTCGGTCCAGAATAGCAATCGGCTGCACCTCGTACGTCAGGTCCTGCCCGACGTCAAGCTCACTGTAACTCAATACGTGCGCTGGGCCATACACGTAATCCTTCAGCATCGAAACGTGGAAGACGTTGTGCACACCCGAAAGCTCGGGTGGCAACGCCAACCGGTATGCAGCCTCACCCACTCGCTTGAGAATCTCTAATGGGCCTAAGAAACGGGGCTGCAGCTTCCCCCTCTTCCCAAAGCGGACCACGCCTCGCAAAGGTGTGATCTTCAGGAATGCCTTATCTCCCTCCTCGAACTGGATATCTCGTCTACGCTGTTTAGCGTAACGCTTCTGTCGATCCTGTGCTACCTTCATCCGCTCACGGATCAAGGCGACCTTCTCCACCGTGTCCTCGATCAGCTTCGGACCGAGAACCTGCCGTTCGCCAACCTCATCCCAATAAAGGGGTGATCGGCACTTGCGACCGTACAACGCCTCGTACGGTGCCATCCTGATCGACGCTTGATAGTTGTTGTTGTACGCGAACTCGATCAACGGAAACATCTCCTCCCATGAACTACCACAGTCCAGAACACATGCTCGAAGCATGTCCTCGAGTGTCTGGATGGTCCGCTCTGACTGCCCGTCGGTCTGCGGGTGGAAAGCGGTACTGAACCTGAACTGTGTCCCCACGGCCTCGCTGAGGCTCTTCCAGAACTGACTGGTAAAATGAGGGTCTCGATCTGACACTATGACCTTGGCGACTCCATAAAGTCGCACTACCCCGCGAATATAGATACTCGCGAGCTGGTCTATGGACATCGTCATCCGCACGGGTAAGAAATGAGTCGTCTTCGTCAGTCGGTCCACAACTACCCAAACCGCATCATGCTGCTCCCTCGATTTGGGTAGTCCCATAATGAAATCCATGGTAAGCTCTTCCCACTTCCATAGTGGGATCTCCAAGGGCTGCACTAAACCTGGTGGAAACTTGTGCTCGGCTTGTTGGGTTCTGTTAGGAACGTCAAACAACATGCACAGTATTGAACTTTATCGAAATAAATCCTAACGCAGCGGAATCTATAGTTAGGAT